CTAAATGATGGCTAAATTTTTCTTGTTCGATAATGGAGATTGTTGTTGGAAATAATTTAACAAAACCAATGGATGTTGTAACACTATTATTCACATTACTTTTCTTGGCATAGTACATACCAGTGCCGAGTAAACCTTGTTTTTCTAAGTTTTTCTAATTTTTAGCGAACAGTTAATTATAATCAAAATGATACTCTCTGTTGTCATTCTAATGGTTACTATTGGCCTCGTGTGTAACACACTATCGATAATCACTTTTTCTCAACCGAAAACCCAAGAATTCGGTTGTGGTTTCTACTTGATACTCTTGTCGATCATAAGTCAGGTGGGTCTGATTGCTTTTGGTGCAAGATATATCTATTTGTTGATCAGTCAAATGTTTGTTGTACAAAATGTGCAATTGGCATTGAGTACTTGCATTGCACTTGAATTTCTTATCAGTATTCTTTGTTCGACATTCGATTGGTTAACAGCTTGCATTGCAATTGAGCGGGCATGGACGGCTGTAAAAGGAATTAATTTCGATAAAGCATTGAGCAGAAAAGTGGCAAAATACGTGACGGTCGTTGTTGTCTTATTGAATGTTCTCAGCGCTATTCATGAAATATTCAATCATCACTTGCTTGATGATCCTCGACTGAATAGACATTCATGGTGTATAATGAAATTTCAAAGCAAATGGTTAGAGCAGTATGAAATTGCAACAAATGTCATCCACTTGGTTGTACCATCCCTCATTAATCTCTTATCAACAGTTGTTTTCATAATTAGTTTATCTCGTAGACAGGCGGCATCAGCCTTGAATGTCGCGACGATTTTCTAACATCTTACGAGAACAATTAGTGTTCTACAAACCGTTTGTCATAAGTCCAATTGCGCTTGTTATTCTGGAATTTCCTCGTTTGGTTCTCTCATTTGCGCTCGCCTGTGTGAAATTTCAATGGCAGAAGTATTTGTATTTGGCAAGCTATTTGATTTCATTTGTTCCCCTTATGGGCACTCTTGTCATATTCGTTGTACCATCACCGATATACAATCAAGAGTTGCAAGAATTTATGAATCGTAGGAAAGCGTCACTGAAAAGTTTAATGTCATGCTAGTTGTTTCGAAGGTATTATTTTCTAACCATTTTTATTGTTCTATATTGTACATGGGTTGTTTTTTCTTTGACCGTCTCAGATTTATGTATGTATCCTACTTTTGTTGTAGAGAATAGAGACTAAGTAAATTGGAAATGACTCTCACTCCAAAACTCCGCTGTATTGTGATGTCGCAAAGTATTACACATGGGATGCATCGGGGAAAGCTTTTAAGCGGCGTGTTCAAGGGACTGCAGTACATGGTTATCCAAATATTAGAGAAACGGACGCTCTCGATCGTGTCTATACTGTGCATCCAAATAACTTTGAATGCTTCTTCTTGCGGCTCTTACTTCACACAGTCAGAGGTCCTACTTCATTTGAAGCTCTTAGGATTGTAAATGGTCAAGTCTGTGCAACATTTCGTGAGGCCTGCCAATTAAACGGATTGTTAGAGGACGATGATCAATGGGATGCAACGATATCTGAAGTAGCTACAGTACAATCACCGGCAAGATTGAGAAATCTATTCGTCATCTTACTGATTACTTGCGCACCATCTAATCCGGAACAATTGTGGGAGTCGTACAAAGAAAGCCTAGCAGAAGATTTTGTGTTGTCTCAGGTGGCTTCTGGAAACAGTTTTCTCAGGAAAAACCAAGGTTTCTGAAAAATCTCTCACAGAGACCCGGCGTTTTACGGCAAACTCTTGACTTTTCTGTATTCGTATCAAAAAAGCATGGCTTACAAATATATAAGGTCATCAATAGATGCCCCCTGATTTTAGGATTTTCCAGAGATATTCTTGAAAACGGATTTTACGGATTTTGTATTCTAAAGACTATTTTCTGCAGTATTCGAACATATCGCTATTTGAAAATCGCTCAGATATGTACCCGAGAAGATTTATTTGTTTAAACTAAAGCTTAATACAAATTAGGAATTGATATGAAAAGTAGTACGGGTTCAGGTAACCGGATCAGGAAAGTTTTCGAATATTGTTGTGATACCGGCAAAAATCGATATTATATCGATGTAAAATCGGTGAGAATTGAAAAATTTTGTAGAACAGTTAGCCGCTCGTTGCAATGAAAATCGTTTATTCTCTTCGTTGCATGGAGCCCGTTCTGCATTGTAAAAGTGTTTTTTGTTTTTCCTATGGATTGTGTCGAAAGCTCTGCAGTGTTAGAATAAAATGTAAAATTTTTCTGATGTTCTTGGATCCAGTGGAAAACAAGTGCCACCGTGATGGCAAACAATTGCTCGACAAGGATCAAACAAAGCGTTACAATCAACACCATATGTTCCCAATGGACAAATACATTTGGAATCGATCAATTTTGATCTGTTTGAACATTTAAATATCGATGGCATATGACAGTGTTGTCCTGACCAGCCGTCATCGCACAAACAATACTGTTCATTGACCAAATTTAAATATGGCATACAAACACCGTGTAAACAGTCAATAGAACAAGGAACACTTGTACTTGATTTGCCGACATTGATTTTTATGGATAAACGATTAACCGGCAAAAACCAAAAACGAATATGAAAATACCATAATGACACCAACTTGATATCTTTAGTTGTACAAGAAAATGCTGTAACGCGTACCGAATAATTGCCGACTGTTGATCTTGGATAGACAAGATAGACAACATATTTCAAAGATTTATGCATATATGGTACATGAACAATTTCCTCGCAATAAATTACATTATTAGTATTTTCAATTAAAAGACAAATAAGGAATCGTAAAATAGATTGACTTAATATGCCTAATGTTTCGATTTTTAGATGAATTGTTAGACGTTCACTTTGATATTCACAAAATGTACCATAAAATGATGGCGAACAAAGACACTGTCGAATGCCATTTGACATGACTACAGTTCCTCGATTACAATAGTCTGAATCATTTGCGTTCAGTGGAATTGCAACTGGTTCTTGTACCGATGATGATGATGTCAATTTTTTCACACTTTCGTAAATAGTCAATGGTCCATAGTGATCGAAGCTGAGAAATGAAAAGGGTTTATAAATCCGTCTAGGGTACATATCACAAAACGTAGTATAACAGTTATACTTAGTACAAACTTCACTTTTTGGCAAACATGGACCCTCAAACGCACTGCCCAAATCGCACGCAATCGTTCCTGCTGCACAATTGGTGGCGTTCTTTCTCCGCGGACACAAATATTCATCATCATATAATGGACAATCTTCAATACCGTCGCATATATCTTCTAACCTGATACACTTTGAACTATTCCAACATCGAAATCGACGCGTAATTTCTAACGGATATTCTACTGGACAATGATTCATCCGTTTATATATAAAGAAGAATGTTTGTCTGTTTGTTCGTTATGCATTCAGTCCCTGTAATAGCTACGGTCACCAAACTTTCCATGGTACTTCCCTAGGTCCAGGGAAAGGTCAAGAGGGTTTCGGCGCCCCAGTAGGGAGTGGGTACCTGGGTGAAATTTCACCCAGATGACTTTGTATTAGCAAATATTACCAAACCTTCCACGGTGCTTTGATGAGCTCAGAGGATGGTTTTAAGAGGGTTGGCACTACTGATAGGGGTACAGAGGCGGTGCCTGGGTGAAATTTCACCCAAGCCATATCACAGTGGAATTTTCATCAATTTTCTAGAAATTTAGCGAATTTGTTACGATTCGAAAATTAATCATTTCGTATTACTAATTTTTTGGTCTAAATGTGAAAACCGAGGGTTTCTCATGTTAAGTTAAAAGGGTAAAATGTATACGAGTCTTTCTTGGTTTACAACAATGGTGTATTCGTTTTTTTTGGTCTCACAAAACAACGCATTTGTTCTTTTTCTTGACTCACAACGATGAGGTATTGATAATAAGAATGTATTTGAATGATATGACTATATAATCAGATGTGGCACATTCTTGAATGTATACAACGATGTATAGTATTCTTTCTTATGCATCATAAGTCGTCATTGGAATTTTCATTTCACGTTATGAGATGACGTTATTGATATATTCCAGTGCTTTGCTTCAGTATAAATAGATGTCTTTTTCTATTGTTTTTCACTAAGAAAGCGATATATTCACTATAGTGTTTCTTATCCTCCAACGATTCTAGCAACATATAAAATATACATATTCTACCAATAAAAACAGTTGCAAACTACAAGTAAGTGCGTAACATTCAATATAACCTTCACGGAGTTTACAGATTATCGAAGCATTGTCGATTGTAATATCAAGAGGAAATCGCACAGGTAACTTTGTAAAAACAGTTTTCTTTAAAACATTTTCTACCTTTCTCTCTCAGATCAAAAATATTCAATTATGCCACCCAAAAGACGAACTTCTCTAGCAAGAACCACATCAGCTTCCAGAAAAATGACAGCTACCAGAGCAGCCGAGAGTTCGGAGCAGACAAGTAGTCGGCTTGCTGGTCAACGCACAAGACAAGCGGCTTCCTGGGCAATCGAAGCTCCAGAACAAGCACAAGCTCGACGGGATGAAGATCGAGTACGACATGCAGTCTCTAGAGCAGACGAGAGTCCAGAGCAAAGGCGGAGTCGAAGTGAAGATCAACGTAGACAA